CGTCGGGATTTTTTAAGCATGCTCAAAAGTGTGCGCGGAGCTCGACGCATGAATGTACACGCCAAAGGCACGCCAGACGTGCGTTGAGTGCGCTAGACCAGCGCCAGACATACGCGGAGCACACGCCCTGTATACGCACAGCGCGCTAGCCACACGCTGTGCATTTTGTGTCAGCTCGCTAGCTTTTCCAAAATCATGACAAAAGTTAGGCACACGGCCTTTTCCGATTTCCAATGCGGGGGCCGTGCGTCGTAGAACGCGGTGCATGCGTGGACCATTCGTCCAGCGCGCCAGCAACACGCTGTGCATTCGTGGAAGTTGTTATCATGTGCGCTCTGTGTACGGTCTGTATGCGCACTGTATGCGCCCTGTATGCGCTTAGCGCGCTAGCAACACGCTATGCATTTGATGTCAGCTCGCTGTAGCTTCGACAAAAGTTGGGCGCATGACAACGCACTAGCCAAAATTGCAAATTTCCCATGCGCTGGCCGTGCGTTCCCCATGCGTCCTCCCTGTGTGACCGGGCCTTTAAGGCCCGGTCACATAGAGGGGGTAAGAGGACATTTTTTTTTTGGTCTCGAAATTTGAAAATTTGATATTTTGCTCCGTTGGGGGGGGGGGGTGTAAGGTCAACTTGTTTAGGTCAGCCATTGGTATAATTTTTATTATTATTATTTTTCTTTTTCTTTTTATTTAAAAAAAAATACCAAAGGGGGGGGGGAGGGGTTAACCCCTCCCCCCCCCCCCCCCCTGCGTACGCGCCTGTTCAAATTGTATGCATTTTGCAACATTTTGTTTTTGACTCGTTCCGTGCAGTGCCCTCTTTACCCAAACTCAACTATCTCTCTCTAAATGAATTCAACACAGTACTAGTAGTTAATTTTCAAAGGACATTTAGGTTTACTTTATTTATTAAAAATATATCATTCAATCAGTCTCTGTATCCTTTAATATCCTTCCAAACTGCGGAGGTGGGGTGGTCTAGATCATCCTGTCTTGCCATGGAACTGAGCCGGCTTCGGAGTTGGCCCAATGTTTGATGAGGTTCCTCTGCTTTTTTCCTTCCTTGCTGGAGGTGTTGTTGCCAGAGACTACTTGGGTGTCCTGCATGTTAAAGCCAGATCTCCACGCTCCTGGGACGTAGTCGCGAACCAGGTTCTAGGCACGGTCAAGCTGCTGGTTTTGCATTCCTGGATACTGAGTCCTCAAAAGATTGTGGAGGATCATGCATGCTGTGACAATGAGCTTGACGGTCTCGGGCTGCTGCTGCATCGTGCTCAGGAGAACTTGGAATCGGTTGGCCAGGATGCCGAAGGCATTTTCGACGACCCTCCTGGCTCGGGAAAGCGGGTGGTTGTAAATGCGCTCCGGTCTCGTCAAACCCCGGAGGCTGTACGGCTTCATCATGGTGGGTCGTAGAGCGAAGGCATCATCGCCAACGAAAAAAGTAGGGCATATCCTGGTTATCGTTAGGAAGAGGATCGGGATCAGGGAAGCCTAGACTGCCACCTTCAACGCATGCCTTCAGCTCAGAGGCATTGTAGATCTGAGCGTCTGATGCTGATCCCATACCACCGATGTCCGCCCAGATGAAACGGTAATCAGCATCAACGAGAGCCATGAGGACAATGGAGTAAAACCCTTTATAGCTGTAGTATAGGGAACCACTGTTTGAAGGACACTTGCAGTTGACGTGCTTTCCATCAAGTGCACCACAGAAATGAGGGAAGTTCCACTTCTCCATGAACTTGTCAGATATGGCACGCCATTCCTCAGGAGTGGTGGGACACTTCATCATCTCATCCCTGTACTCTTTGATGATGGCTTGGCACACTTCTGGGATGAGAAGGGATATAGTGTTGTGAGGCACTCTCCTACCATAGGACATTGAACGATACTTGGTTCCAGAGGCAAGATGCCGAAGAGTGAGGGCAAGCTTCAGGCCCGGATCAAGGGCATCTCTGTAGTTTGTTTTCTGCTTGGTGATTCTCGGGCCCACTCTGGTTAGCAGTTCGTCGAACATCTCTTGGGGCACCCGCATGAAATTCTTGAAGGCTGCCTGGTCTTCGTTACGGAGTTCCACAAGAAGCTGATCATACAGGCCGAACTGTCGTCGCCTACCGATCCACGGTCGAACCCAGAATCTCCGTTGATTTCTTCTCTTTATCCTTCTCCTGATGACATGGACTTGGTGAATTGCCAGCTCCATGAGGTTCTGCTGATGTTGGAGAACCGCAATTTCGTATTGTAGGCGTAGCCTGTCGTGACCATCCATCTTCTGAGGTGTTTCTTCTAGACAAGATCAGCAATAACCTCTGTCATCACACATGAGGGTCTGTGGAGAAGTGATGACGAGGTTGTTGTTGTTGTTTATTTGGTATTATCGGCGTTTCATTCTTTTTTTAAGAATATTTACGTAATAGGTGGGGCGGAACCCGTTTAAATTCCCTTTGGATACTCGCTAAGTACACGCCAGGTATACGCTTAGAACACGCCAGGTATACGCTAGGAACACGCAGGAAGGAAGTCAGGTGCGCTAGAGACGCGTTCAGCACGCGTTCAGCACGCTAATGTTCGCTGAACATGCGTTTGAAACGCGCGAGGTATGCGCTAGGTGTGCGCTAGGCATTCGCTAGACGTCGGCCGGCGAACTCAGAACGTATACACAGCGTGTGCTCCGCGCATGTCTGGCGCTAGTCTAGCGCGCTCAACGCATGTCTGGCGTGCCTTTGGCGTGTATATTCATGCGTCGAGCTCGGCGCACGTTTTTGAGCATGCTCAAAAAATCTCGACGCACACAGCGAATGACGACGCATGCATAGCGCTGGTCCAGCGTTGGTCCAGCGCGCTCGACGAACGAGTAACGACTGATGACGCACGCCTAGCGAACGACAACGCACTGGCCCAAATTGCAAATTTTCTATGCGCTGGCCGTGCGATCTCCATGCGTCCTCCCTGTGTGACCGGGCCTTAAAGGACATCAATAACATATATAATATTAATATTACGATTTATATTTGCTATGATATACTTGGAACATATTTTTGTTTTGTATTTTGTATTTTTTTCTTTTGAGGGACAAACACAAATATTCTGGTAGCATCATTTTTTGTAATGATTTTATCTATATTCCCTTTTCCCAAGATATAGACGAATGCTCATCTTACCCGTGTATGAATGGAGGAGCATGCTCAAATCAACCGAATCGTTTCTCATGTTATTGCACTAGTGGGTGGTCGGGATCAAGGTGTCAGTATGGTAAGTAAACTAAATATTTTCCCGCCTAACAAATCATATTGGAGATAATGAATGATTAATAATATAGGTTTTCCCGGCCGAATTCGTCGTCACATCAGTCAATTTCATCAACGTTCATTAAAGCTCCCGCAATTGACCGCTTATTAGTTCCTGCCATGCTGCAAAGGGAATTGAGATCGATACGTACGATGACGTCCGAAATCAACATGATCATGGACTAACTAACAACCTCCTGTGAAGTCTTCCATTACTTATAACAATGCATTCCCTTTAATATTCATACATTATATTTATTACCCAAACCTTCGGATACACTGTAATTCAGCATAAAAAATAACTATACATTTGGTAAATAAAGCCGTAAAAAAAAGAGCTGGTCAAGATTAGCTCATTTCAATATCCCATTATGTATGACAATAAAATAATAATTGACATGAAAGCATCTTATATTCGCATCAAAAAGACATCAATAACATATATAATATTAATATTACGAAGTAATCGATTTATATTTGCTGTGATATACATGGAATGTAGTTTGATTTTGTTTGTTCTATTCTTTTGAGGGACAAACACAACCTTTCGGGTAGCATCAATTTTTTACTGATTTCATTTCTATTCCCTTTTTTCCAAGATATAAACGAATGCTCACCTAACCCATGTATGAATGGAGGAGCATGCTCAAATCAACAGAATCGTTTCTCATGTACTTGCGCTAGAGGGCTGACGGGAGATAGGTGTCAGTATGGTAAGTAAACTAAATACTTTCCCGCCTAACAAATCATATTGGAGATAATGAATGATTAATAATATAGGTTTTCCCGGCCGAATTTGTCGTCACATCAGTCAATTTCATCAACGTTCATTCAAGCTCCCGCAATTGACCGCTTATTTAATCCTGCCATGGTGTAAAACAAGGTGTAGCATGCAAACTTATTTTATTCACGTGGGAGGCAATCCATGGATTTCCCCGGTGTATATTTTAGACATGCTAACCCCCGCCCCCCCCCCTTTCCCTCCCCTGTAATCCTGGAGCTTGCCATCATCGGGTAAATATACTTAAGAGCACTCGAACACCGTACTTTCTCTGCTTGGTGATGAATCGTTTGCTGCTTCTGAACCTAGCTTGTAGAACAGTATTCCTCAGTATTCCTCTGGAACTTGTGACCGGCTATCTACTAACGATATGACTAGTCCACATTGCTTGCAACTGGCCACTACCCCCAGTCTTTCTCAGGTGAATTATGGAAGGTTTATTCAGTATTTTTTTCCAACTCATCAGTGCCTTTGATTAGGTAATAACATATTGGCGCTCTACAAATTCCCGGATAAGACGGGATACCATACCGATCTTAAACTACTGGAATCAATGAAAACTGTTCCTTGTATCTTTTGAAAAATGCAACATAATTCTGTGCAGATATGCGTTGATAGATTAAAGAAATTTTTATGTGTATTTCATCATATTTCATTTTTTTTTGTTTTTGGTATTTATACACTTATACCTGATATAGATTTATCTGATATTCATGAGCATTTAAGTTTGATTGTTAAGAAGAAAAAAACGACTTGCATCTACGGACCTGATGGTCTCAGTATATTTGTAAATGTTCATGTAAGGAAGTTGTTTGTCTTATGTTTCATCATAAATTTATCATAATTTCATTATGAAAGAAGGATACAATATTGTGACTGGGGTGGGGACTAGAGGCACAAATGTGAACATGATTCATTATGTAGCCATGTCTGTAGCCATCGATCTGCTGGCGGGCAAGTAAACAATGAAACTCTTCAAGAAAAACAGTGGGGAGTGCTGGGTATAAGAGATGATGTGAATTACTTTTGTGAAATTCCTAGTCTGTAGTAAAAAGGGGCGATTGGGGGTATCCCCACCTTTCCCGGTATATGAACATGTCCGTGCAGAAATGCCATATCCCTTGATTTCGCCCCTTCTTTACTTTATGTCTGACTACACCCATCTGCATTGTCCTGAAAATATGGAATAACATCTTAGACCCCAATGGCAAATCATGCATTTTAACTGCATTATTTAAAAACTGTAAAAGTTTGTTGCAATTCTTTCCCGTAACATTCCTAACTTGAATAAGAATATTACGAATACGAATGACAGGTGTTAATTTTAATGATAACAATTACGCTTCGACAAGTGAATATTAATTTGAATGCTAGTTGAGTAGTTTCTAAATTGAATGACAAATCTTTGAAATCCTTCAACCAAAATTCTAAATTGAATACAAAAACTGGAAAATTGAATGATAATTGGCATGGCAAAGCCGATCTGCGCTAACTTAAATGCAAAGTAAATGAATTCGAATGACAAACACGCGAATTTGGCCGGGAAATCCTATATTTATAAAAATGAAGTTGAGTTCTGGTCATGCGATTGCATTGTGAAAGAAACGGTGTGGAATCGACCTGAAAAGGTTGATCATCTAGCATATAAGAATGTGTGTGTATTGCAAGGTTCTGGAATCATCAAAATGATAAGAAATTTGGTCAAGTGTTGGTAAAGTTACAAACACTGTACACGGAAAGATGTATATGGGACTACACGAGCACGTGGCGTAAAAATCCTTCCCGGATTGGGAAGAGCCATGCTTTTCAGGGAACATGTCTTATCTTATGTTCTTCCACACTTGCATAATAAGAATGATAACGCTCAAAAATAATTTTTCACCTCTTCCCAGAACTCAACCTTCTCTTTAAGTTATGCAAGTAAACCCATTCACTTTGTAGACTTCACTGTCAGACACTATTGAGTGACTGACGGACTTTTTTAATCTTTGGTAATAACATACATAAAATGAGCTGTAAAATGATATAAGCTTTTGTTCACATCAAGGAATTTATTCCATGAAATGCTAGAGCGTCGTATGGCAGCCGTGCTAAATCCAGGGTAATAATCGGGAGCGCGAGGAGGGTCAAATATGACTGACATGAGCGCTATACAAGAACCCACTATTATTATTATTTTTTATTATTTTTATTATTATTATTATTACTATTATTATTATTATCATTATTATTATTATTATTAGTATTATTATTATTATTATTACTATTATTATTATTATTATAATCCGCTTCTTGCAATGGTTAAAATTAAGCTGCTTGAATCTTTGCGCAGCACAAAATGTACGACCACACGGTAGAAGGGTCTGAAAATCAGACTATTTTCTACCATAATTTTAGGAGCGCGTTTCCAAAATGTCCTAATGGTCGATATAAATCCACATATTTTAGAGGCAATTACCAGTTCTAATCTTTTAAATATTTAGTTGATATTATCTCCTGTTTACCAAAGGATTTACACAAGTTTATATTTACAGCCTGCAAAAGGGACACACCATCTTTAAGGGAAAATCTAGCCCTTGTGCGAACTTCATTATTTTGTAAGAAAGCAAAAAAATAAGAGACACAGAATGGCGATATTTTAAAATAGATCGGACCAGTAATAAAATAGTTATGATTGTTTGAAATACGAGATCGCTAAATCTATCCAAAACTTAAATTGGCAATTTGGTCAGTGAATTATGACGCAGTTATGAACACCTCTCCCTTTTGTCGTGTTCAAAATATCATTAATTTTCAGTTTTTCTCATAAGCGCCTACTCTTTCGGGGCATTACTAAAAAAATAATATATAATGGATAGCATACTATTATAGGTCCTCTGAAAAGAAGAGGGACTTTCGAGACATACGTCTTGTGCGCTGAAAAATGGGAATGTTGCCCGGCAGTATGTCACGGAGTACCAATTCAGGCAATTTAAGTGCTCATATCTAAAGTGATAACGACGTTTAGAAATTCATAATTTTCTTTATTTGTTATCTAATTTTATTCATAACTTTTTTTATTTGTTATCCACTGAATTTTATTCAAACCTTCACCAGTCTGCTTCTCTGATATTTCAGCTTTCTGTAAGAGAAATTGTCTATTAAGTTTGGATTTAACTTTAACATTTGCTCCTGCGACAAGTGCGCCGGGATTTGTGTCATCAAAAGTATAAGGTTAGACTAAGGGTTGCAGTTGGGTTTTAGGATTAGGGTTAGGATTAGAGTTAAGGTTAGACTGAGGGTTGCAATTGTTTTTAGGTGGAGGGTGAGGACTAGGCCGGGTTAGTGTTAGGCTGAGGGTTGCAGTTGGGTTTTAGGTTAAGGGTAAGTTGTGCATTGCAAAATATATAATTTTCCGGCCAAATTCGCGAGTTTATCATTTAAATTGATTTGTCTTGCGTTCAAATTCGACGGTTTTAGTGCTGTTATGTATACCTTGGGTTTTTATTCCTTTTTTTAGTTTTCAATTCTTTGAAGTTTTCGTTAAAATCTATGTATGCTTCATTCAAATTAATGAATAATGTGCTTCTTTCGCTATTTGGTCATTCAATTTGGCGGAACACGATTTCTGACATCGCGAAGGTGTGCTTTTAGCATTCGAATTCATTTGTAGCATTCAAATTAGCACTTTGTGCACTTAAATTGATGGTCAATATACATTTCTCGTTTATTACACACTTTTTATAGCTCATTCTTCTCTTTCAAAATTGTTTTTTTCCATGTGTATTTCATCATATTTTATTTTCTTGCATTTATACACTTTATATACTTTTAGATTTATCTGATATTCATTATCCTTTAAGTTTGATTGTTAAGAAAGAACAAAAAAGACTTACATCTATGGACTAGAGGGTCTCAATATTTTTGCAAATTCTCATGTAAGGAAGTTGTTTGTCTTGTGTTTCATCATCAATTTATCACAATTTCATTATGGAGGAAGGGTACACTATTGTGACTGGGATAGGTGTTTTTGTATCCCCACTTTTTCGGGTTATAGGTTCTTTACCTAATGTCTAACCACATCATGCATTGTCCTCAAAATTAATAAATGGAATAACAGAGAACACCCGAATGGCAAATCATGCATTTTATTGTATTTTTTTTCAAAATGTAAACGTGTGTTGCATTTCTTCCCCGTAACATTCCTAATTTGAATAAACATAATTCGAATACGAATGACAGGTGCTAATTTGAATGATAAAAATGACGCTTCGACAAGTGACGATTAATTTGAATGCTAGTTGAGCAGTTTCTAAATAGAAGGACAGATCTATCAAACCCTTCGACCAAAATTCTAAATTAAATACCAAAACGGGAAAATTGAATGATAATTGGCATGTCAAAGCCGATCTGCGCTAACTTAAATGCAAAGTAAATGAATTCAAATGACAAGCTCGCGAATTTCGCCGGGAAATCCTATACCATAAGAAAAAGATTTGTGCGCCCTCTACTTGATGGTGGAATTAGACAATTTGGAACTTGGTTATTAGACCATTCCTGGGATGATGTATATAGCACCAACGACCCTTCTACAAAATGTGATATATTTGTTAGTACTCTCCAAAATAGTGTTGATCAATACTTACCAGTAAAATCAATTTACATGCATGTAAAAGATAAACCATGGATCAACTGTAATGTTAAATCTCTGATTGTACAAAGACGACAAGCTTGGCACGTACATAACCAAGTCATTTGGCGTCACCTAAGAAACAAGGTAATCTTTGATATAAGAGCCGTAAAGATTACTTAACAAAAGAGTTCGAAAATTGAAAACTCATAATCCTGCGAGCTGGTATCGTCAGATTAAAGTACTTGCAAATGGCCCTCAAGACCAAGCACCGATTAGCATTCCTGGCCTCTCTACAGATGAGTGCTAATCGCGTAAATGATAATTTTTTATCAGATAGCATCAGACTTACCTAAGCTTGATAAGGACAAGCTACCTTTTGATTTACCATCACCCACCAAGTGTCCAATTGTTTAACCATATGAAATTTACAAATTGTTGTTTAAACTAAAGTTACAAAAAGAAGTACCTCGAATGATTTACCAGTTCGCATAAATTCGTGAGTTTGCAGTTGAATTGAGTACACCTCTAACTAATACTGAATTCATCTTTTGACTTAGGTATTTTCCTCAATTGTGGAAATATGCAGAGATCATACTTGTTCCAAAGTCTTATCCGTCTACAATCAATGAGTTAAGACCAATTTGACTTACTTCATATTTTGCGAAAATTGCAGAGTCATTTATTGCAAAATGGCTGTGGGAAGATATTTCAGCCCAAATTGATCCAAATCCATTTGAAAATAGAAAGAACATGTCTACATATCACTAAATGATTGGGCTGTTGCATGCCTTGTATAGTAATGCTGACAAACCTAAGTCACTGTCAACACTCATTCTGACTGATTTTTCCAAAGCATTCGATCGGATTAATCATAATATCATCATTGCTAAATTATGTGAAATGTATGTTCGTCCTTGTGTAATTTCATTGGTAATAGATTTTCTGAGTAATCGTCAACAAACAGTCAAGTATAGAGGTCAGTTATCAGAATCAAAATACAATGGTGTAGGCGTGCCTCAAGGTACCAAACTTGGCCCAATTTTATTTTTTAATAATGATTAATGATGCCTGCAGAGATAATTCGTTGTCATATTATAAATATGTAGATGATTTAACAATAGTAGAATACAGAATGAATAATAACCAAATTTCTCAATTACAACACTAAATTGTACTACTTGAATCGTGGACTTCTAGGCGCCTTGAGCATCTCTTGAGGTGGATATGTGCGCATTATAAATGTTGTTATTATTATTATTATTAATGATATGGAGTTGAATGCATCAAAATGTTCTACGATGTCCGTCTCATTTTCCAAGCCGCTCCTACAACCACCTTTGTT